ATCGATTGCACGATGTTGAACATCGCGGAATAGGATGACTGCTCTGTTTTGTTGGCTAATTATCTTTGAGTTCCAATGACGGCGATGAAAAACTATGGCGACGTCAAGTGGAAGTCGAATTTCAACTGTCAGCTAAACGTTAATTTTATTTATACAATATTCAATAAAATTTCAGTGAAGCATCTTTTTTCAGTTGATTTATCAAGTTAATAATATTCTGTTGGAGATGATTGAGCTTATCAGTAATATAAAATTTCAAATTACGTTCTAAAGTCGACTTTGAATTGACGTCACCATAGTTTTCCGCCTCCGTCATTGATATTCGAAGGCAGTTGATCAGTTAGACAATCTCATTGACTCTGTTGGAAATGACTTGACACAAACAATCGACTAGAGTTACTGACCAAAGAGGCCAAGGTAATACAAAAATATTCGAATCAAAAGCTTTCAGAAAACAGTGCTTGTTTTTCAAAAAGCTTCTACAACCGGTCATGAGATAAAAAAATTTATTTACGTTAGGTAATATATATATATATATATATATATACCGTTTTGTAGAGCATTTCATGCTACATCTTTTAGTCAACAAATCAGCAGAAGCGATTGATACCATGTGAAGAAAAATAGAGAATAATAACACCGCTCTGTGTAAAGAATCAAATTCCCTTCAATTTCTTAAACAATAATACGATAATATTATTGATAATTTATACACTAAAACAAAGAATTCGAAATCTTTTTAAAGTTTCGCAGTGCGCGCGAAACTCCCTTTAAGCTCTACATTGCATCATTTTTTTCGGTGTATAGTTATATAGAAACTTCTATAACTAGAATATCAAATTTTTTGTTGTTTTTGACTGACATATAGTTTTTTGTATTTGATGCAGAAAGAAAAAGTGATCTAATGAAGTAGAATAGGTGTACCCCAAAATGGAGTTTACATGGCAATCCTGGAACATACCTTTTTCCAATGCGTCTACCAACTGATGGCAAAAGTCAGTATCCGCATGCGAATAGCTAACCATGACGCGCATTCGTTTGTTTTTCACTGTAGCTGTTGAAGGACGATTTGTCTGAACGACCACAGTTGGCAATGGTTCCACTACGCGAATTGTTCTTGCTGAACTCAAAATAAAATAGATCACAGTTAAGTTAATGTCGATTGATGCATCAGTTTTCTAACCTGGATTATTTTCATCGAGATTCCACAAAATACCAGTGGCTGCTTTTTTCACCGATGACATATGTTTCGGTACATATTGTTCGACCCAAGCTTCTCCATCATCATTGACGAGACTTTTGATAGTGATTAGAAACTTCGCATTCGATTTGAGTTCATCAACATAATCATCATGAAATGAAATACTCCAAATGATGTTCATCAATGCTGTGAGAGTTAATTGATCGAGTTCGTCGTCATTGGCGAGAGCACCTCGAAATTGCATCACCAGATCACAGAAAAAGACGATTTTCGAAGATACTTTCATATTTTTAACTTGTGACTCTTTGATGCAATAATGTACAATGTCGTCATGGACGAAGAGTTTTGTAAAGACCACTAATGGTTCACTGATATCGAAATCACCATATTTATGATTTTTTTTCCGTGCGCTATTGACCGTCATCTGCATGAGTTGATCGAGCACTTTTCTAAGTGATTTGACATCACTTTTGCTTTCTTTCGGTTCCGTTAACAATGCTAGTGCCATAGAAAAGAGCAAACGCATGTCCTCGTAGGCTGCGTCATCAATGGTTGGATCTAAAGTTCGTTGTTTGAATTCTTTCAGTAAATGAAGGGTATTCGCTTCCTTCAATGCATCACATCCTTTTTCATGCCGCGCAATATTGTATAAGAGCCGAATACTGGCTCGTTGAATAGCGAATGGCAATTCACTCATGTTAATCCATTTGAGTGTAAATGAAACGCAATTCACATTGAGTAATTGTGGTATAAGAATTGTGTTATCAACCAATGTCCAAATGAATTCCAATATTTCAACCATCGTTAGTTGAATATCGTTGCTAGTCTCAAATAAATTCATATTTACGTATTCTAATAGAAGGTGAATGATCGATTCTTGATTGAGTAAATCATCTTTTTTAAACAGGATCTCTTCGGCAATATTTTGCATTTGAATTAGCAATATGCGCAAAATATTAGCTACATGTGGCATAATTTGATCGTTGGATTGATTTTTGAGAAGGGTGGTAATCGCTGGAAGTGATATTAGTTCGAAGATACGAAAGAACATATCATGAGCATAGAGCGTGTCATCTCTGAAGATCGATTGAAAGTTGATAGTTGTGTATACTTCCATGATGGAATTAAATATTTGCTGAAATTGATCACTGGCAAGAATATTAACAAATTCGATCAATGAAAGAAAGTCACCGATGTATGTTTTCCAGATAGCATGAATTATGTCAGAAAGTGCTTTTGGACTCTCGACGTAACGAAGAAATTTTATCGAAGTCAAGACCGATTCAATACAGGATAGAACTTTTGAGTCGATACGATTAATATCCGTACTTGATTCATTTTGCAAGATCTCTTGGCGCAGATTGGTCAACGATGCGAATAGATCGAATGAGATTTTGTTTGGATCAGCTGTTTTTGATGACTTTTGCATCGGAACTACACGATTGTGTTTAACAGAACTGTTGAAAGATTTCGTTTAAATGAAGTTAAATACATACGGATGGTTTGTGAGTGAATACTTACTGTTCGATGAGCGAACTAAAATCGATAAATCAACATGTATCATTAAAATTCTGCTCTATAGAGTACCCTATCTACTGTCAATATTGTTGTAAATGGTTAGAAACCTATAGACTAGTGAATGATGGGACGCGACTGATAGTGTGTTCAGAGTAGTTTCAGTAACTCAAAGAAGAATAAAATAATATAGCTTAACATCTTGCCAGTACATGAGAAGGTGACTATTTTTATTGTGATCGATGCAATACTAGTAGGAATACAACAGTGACGATTATTCACCCATCGAAATCAATAACTGCTATGAAGCAGTAACCGCTTCGCTAGTGACCATTTCACTAGTAACCGATATTAATCGAAATCAGCATGTTTTATCAAGACATTTCTCTACCGAACCAGATTTCTGCAACATTTTCTCTGAGACAAACAGATTTCC